AATTGGAAATAGAGATAAAATGCATTAGTAGATGTTTTGCATGTCCGATGACCGAAAATCGGTTTAAAATTGATAATTTCAAATATAATTTTAATGTGTTCACTCTGATGCACATTAAAATATCCCATTGCAAAGTAATTTCATTTTCTTAGATATTTGCAATTAATTTCATGAAATCAATATTGAAACTTTAAAACGTATATAGCTAATTTAAGAGTTTTTTTGAATTTATTTTCAGTGAGAAGTCTTCATATTTTCAATGAAGGCCAACAGATTGTATAGCGTGTATTGTTTAGGGAGAATTTATTGTGTATCCGGCGTATTATCAAATGTGTATCCGGCGTATTATCAAATGTGTATCTGGTGTTTTATCTAATGTGTATCTGGTGTTTTATCTAATATGTATCTGGTGTTTTATATAACGTGTATCTGGTGTTTTATCTAATATGTATCTGGTGTTTTATCTAATATATATCTGGTGTTTTATCTAATGTGTATCTGGTGTTTTTTATAATGTGTATCTGGTTTTTTATCTAATGTGTATCTGGTGTTTTATCTAATGTGTATCTGGTGTTTTATATAATGTGGATCTGGTGTTTTATCTAATATATATCTGGTGTTCTTTCTAATGTGTATCTGGTGTTTTATATAATGTGTATCTGGTGTTTTATATAATGTGTATCTGGTATTTTATCTAATGGGTATCTGGTGTTTTATCTAATGTGTATCTGGTGTTTTATATAATATGTATCTGGTGTTTTTTTTATAATGTGTATCTGGTGTTTTATATAATGTGTATCTGGTGTTTTATATAATGTTAACCTTATTTTCATAAAAGTTTGTCTTGTGTGTATTCTTTATATTTATTTACATTATATCTTCTGTTAAATTTATTGAAAACTGTTTTGGTGAAGTTTTATTTCTGGTTTTAGATCACTCTTAGTCTCTCAGGAGTCTCTTAATGGTTCTCGTTTAATTGCTAATATATCCATATATATCCAGATATATATATACACATATCCATATATATACATATATATCCATATATATGTCTTGGAGTAAACATCTTTTTCACATTGTTTAATTATTTTTTTCTTTATATTTTTCCATACATATGCATTTCTGGTATTTTACTTCCGCGACTGCTCGTCATTAAGGTTTCCAGCGAAAATTTCGCATTTTTGCGAAATTTTTTTTTTCATGACCATTTCGCTTCATTTTCTTTGTTAGTATGTGTAAACGTAATAAATACAGTGGCAGATCCCCTAGTAACTTAGATAATCTACACTGTACATTGTCCAAAAATCTAAATGCACTTCTCAGTAAATACGTAAATCATGTATGCGATTTACCTAACCTAGATAAATATATATATAACTACATCGATGATCGAACCCATATTGTGATTAACTTAACTACGTTTCCATATAACGACGCAAAACTTGTAATTAAGTCTATTAAACTGAATCTGTAATCTAGAACCCAAAAATATACTCAGTTGAAAGATACTCTACTTAGATTACAGTGAGTAATTATTCCTCTTTAAGCAAACAAGTAATGAGATTGTGCCTGAGTTGGAACATTGATAGTTTTCGAGATTGGGTCCATGTTGTACATTGATAGCTTAAGATCATGCCGAGTGTTTGGCATTGATATTTTACAAGATCGTGTTCATGCTTGATATTGATAGCTCAAGACTGGGCCCAGTGTTTGGCATTGATAGTTTACAAGATCGTGTCCGTGTTTGACATTGATTGCTCAAGATTGTGCCCAGTGTTTGGCAATAATAGCTCAAGAGATCGTGTCAAGTTTGACATTGATAGATCAAGAGATTTTGTCCAGTTTGACATTGATATTAAAGTGAGATTGAGTTGTACCAGGATTGATACGGGTTTGAGAAACCCTTATTGAGTAGGACATTTACTACATCTATTTTAGGGTGTTCAATTGAACATGATAAATTAGAAATCACGACTTGGTAAATAATTTTCAGAGAGTTATTCTATTCAAATATTTCTGCAACGACTACGTGTGTAAGGGATGTTAAAATTAGCAAAAGAAACTGAGTCTTTGCCACAATCTCAAATGTACCAATCCTATGCCTTGGCATCCTAACTGTGTAAACCTTCGATATTTCAAACTCAGACTATTTGATATAACAGAGTTATAGTCTGGAATAATACTCCGCTTGATTACGGTGTTAGAATAATATATCATCGTTTAGCGAACGGGACGGATAATTATATCTTGTAAGCTGTAGTTCGTAATGAGTTGTATCTTATGTATGACAGATACCTGAGAATGGAATAGGAAGACGACATTATAGCAATACTTTAGTGTATTTGATGGTGTTACAAATCAAATAGTTTTCTGGTTATTGCTGTACAGTGATAACCAGAAAACTCCGAAAAAGAAAGACGACTTTATAGCAATACTTAGGTGTATTTGATGTTGCTACAAAGCAGGTTTGACATTTGTTAAACCACTTATTAAGTAAAATGGGTCGGTTTACACTGCACAATTACTGTGTCCCATTCTTATTTGACTTTTTTAAATCATATCTTGAGTTGAATCCTACCTACGATCCATGCTGATATAGGCGAGAATATGACGGAACTCTTCGGTCTACTCACTGACTATGACGGTCTCATTGTTACTGTAAGTAATCTTGAAGTTCGAACGAAACTGAATAAATGTATCATAAAAGCTAGGAACTTAATAGTCTTAATAAAGCCCAAAAAAAATATACATATAATAATATGAGCTGTGACGATCAAATACAATACTAAAAGAACCTAGTTATAGGGTAAAAAGTCTCAATAATGGCGTGGCAAACTTAAAACAAGAATATCTTCTTTAACCAAATATCACGCCTGTACATGGATTCTGCAGGCGCCTAATGAATAAATATAACCATTCCTTCTGAAATAATTCCCTGAGTATAATGCGAACGAAAAGAGAGAGCATACGTGAGCTTAATATAAACAACAAATAAAACTTTTGTCCTACTGCGATTAAACCCACGCCACTTTATGAAGACGGAAACTTGCCTGCGGCGCTTATGTTACTTTGAACCATTGCATTGTTGAGCGTAGATACTATTACATAAATGCGGTATGATTTCTCTCTGATCGTACTTTTTAACTTTGGGCTGTGTAAGGATACGTCATAATTTGGTCTTTATAATAATGGTAAAAGACCACTTTACAAGAGTTTTCTGTTATCACTGTTTTATATAACTGCCAAATAAAATCTTCATTAGTCTCTTTGGTTTCAAGCAACTTAACAAATTATGGAACAAGACATTTTAAACTATTTACCAACTGTCATGTTTCCTGGGACACCCATACATTCTGAAAATCTCTACTTAAAGTAAATATAGAATTTATTAAATTTGGCTGTTATTACTTGAACTAATTTTGTGAAAACTATTTATATACTGTTTATATTAGCATTTTCTGTCAGTTTATACTGTTTTGTCTTAATTCAACAATTTTTTTCTTCCTTTAATTTTTGGTCTAAGTTTAACTATTTATTTGCTGAAATTATACAAAAAAGTAATTCAAATGAACATTAATCTACTTTCAGAGGTCCATATAATCTAACTTTTAATTAAACTATAATTAATGTAGTTAACATCAAGGTAATAAGGAAAGTAAGTTAATTGCTGTTGCGTATTCCCTGCGTACAAATTGAAACCAGTTCTCACTGGGCGGTGTTTGTGAACAAGAATAGATGCAACAGTGTTCTATTATCTGAGTAGGATAAAACCATTTAATTTTGATAATTTTGATAATTCACAAAATAGTTTCCTATCACCAGAATATTTCAAAGAATTATTTTTTTGAAAAATGGATCCCATGTCAGGCTACGTGACATCCGTCTTGTGTTTACTTTACCACCCAGAGACAGTACACTACAGTACTAAAAATGCGTACACCTCTGAAATAACTATCTTTACATTATAATTCTTTTGTTAACATGAGCAAGTATTGAATATTCTTTACGTCAGTAGGTCGGACAGTATAGCATTTCAGAATATTCTTTACGTCAGTAGGTCGGACAATATAGCATTTCAGAATATTTTTTCAAGTTGCAAAACTATTGGTTGCAGAAATAGTTTTTTAAAATATGGAAAGGAATTGAGTCTTTGCAACAAACTTAAATTTTCTGATATATACATATTTGCAACCTGATGGTGTAAACCTTTAATATTTCAAACTTAGATTATTTGATCTAACATAATTCATAGTTTGAAATATCTAAGGTTTACGACATCAGGGTTGCAAAGACATAGCGAATAGAAAATCAGAGTTTGTGACAAAGACTCAATTCTTTTGTGTATTTGCCAACCTGGGGACCACTGTGAGTCCTTATAATTCAAGATTGAAGAATTATCCTTCCTCCCAAGGACTTTTGTTGTCGCACCATAGATAAACCAAATACATAATAATTAAAATCTACGATAACGTTAAAACTCAACTTCCAGATAGATTTTTACTTCTTATCAATTTCAACGATAAAATTCCAATATAAAATTCTTTTGACATAAACAGTTTTTATTAAAAAAGTTTTCATATCGAACTTTTTCATCAACAATCAGAGGTTTGTAAAAAAGATCCTTTATAAAATTATCATCAACAATGGACATTAAACGTTAAAATTGATTGATGACTTTTTAACTTTCGACTTAGCGACACTTGTTTCAGATTCTTTCGATAGTAAAGCCCAGAGCTAAAAACTTTAGAATTTTAAATATCAAATTTGGTCACATACTCTTGTTAACACAAATTCGAAATATAAGGAAGACGATTTTACCGACTCAGATGCCGATAACTATTTTTAAGACATGTGAATCTGTTTCCGCCCACATGTCCCCCTCGCTCCTTCGTTCCCCCTTCACCCCTCTACGCATCCCACCCAGCCCCTCAGTCAGATTGAAACACCGGAGATGATCACAACTCCGTCTCAGGGAGCAACCCGGCTCCTTCATAGTGATGATGCCGATACCTAGCTATCAACAGACGATGCTTACATCCAGCTCAATATTGTTCCAAGAGCTCCAAAATTATCAGGCGAACATTGAGACGCATTCCCTCATATTTGAAACTGATAAAACCGCGATCTCTCCCCTGTTCCAAGAGTTCCAAAATTATCAGGCGAACATTGAGACGCATTCCCTCATATTCGAAACTGATAAACCCGCGATCTCTCCCCCTCCTTATCCAAAGCCTGGGGTGAGCGGAAACCTGTTGTTCCAGTTCCTGATGATCTGCACCACCATCATGAAGCTCTACAAATATGTTTCAACTGATGTTCGTCAATAGTTTTCTTTTTTTATGTTTAACCAACCAATTTTACTCAGCCATGTGCAAATATTTCAAAACTTTCGTTTTTTAAATAAATGTTAGAAATATCCATTCCAGATATCTTTGTTTTATTATAGTGACTTTTAAAGTCAACAACTCTCCTTGTACAAAACATAACCCGCTGACCCCGAAACTAAAGACAGAGTATCGTAATAAAACCCAGTATCGTAAACTTGGTTTCATGACCCCAGTTTTATAGCACGGGCAGCCGTAGTACATTTAAATTTCCGAGCTGGGTCAACCTTTATGGTCCCAGTTTGTACTATATCGTTCGGACATTGGGTAAATAAAGCATACACTCAATAGGACTAGCCTGTGCAACAAGGTTGACGCGGTCAGACTTTTTGTTGAATTTACTTTTTACAAAAGGGTCAGAGGTGCGTGATAGAAAATGATACCACGAAAGATTAATTTATGCAGTTTCTTTACATTCTCTTTCATTCTTCTGATTTCTTACATAAAAATCTACCCCAATGCATAGATCACAGAAAGGAAACTCGGGAATTTTGTTCCACTCTTTTAAATTTTTATAAACCTCTATTTTCTATGCTCTCTTATTTTTGGGTGTATCAATTCATTGCAATTGTTCTGGGAGGATTTCTTAAATAGTTTTTTTTCACTCACAGAAACAGAAACCATGGTTTTAAATCTGTATAGTTGAAAAAAGGTTAATCTGTATAGATGAGAAAAGGTTAATCTGTATAGAGGAAAAAAGGTTAATCTGTATAGGTGAAAATGATTAATCTTTATAAGTGAAAAATGGGTTAATCTGTATAGATGAAAAAAGGTTAATCGGTATAGTGGAAAAAAGGTTAATCTGTATAGTTGAAAAAAGGTTAATCAGTATAGTTAAAAAAAGGTTAATCTGTATAGTGGAAAAAAGGTTAATCTGTATAGTTGAAAAAAGGTTAATCTGTATAGTTGAAAAAGGTTAATCTGTATAGTTGAAAAAAAGGTTAATCTGTATAGTTGAAAAAAGGTTAATCTGTATAGTTGAAAAAGATTAATCTGTATACGATATAGTCCATTATTATACTTAAATAATAAATAACTTGAATTGCAGGATAATATAAATAAATCATATATCTTATGATGTCAAAGTGCTAAAATATATATAAAGAGAATACCACTAAACTCTAAAAAGGCTGATAGACAACTCTTAGCCTGAAAATATGATATCAGATGTATAATGTATATTGTATATTGTCCATAGTCCATACTCTAGGATTGGTCTGGAACTATGGGGAAGCCGAGCTATTGGAGAAGCTACCCATATACAAATGGAGAGCATCAAATCTAAAAGAAAGGTGAACATAAACCTTCAGCAAACTAACAGACATACACAGTAGAAGCAACTTTTCTATAATCAAATTAAGATTAATCTTTAATTTTTTGTTTTTTTGCAGGTAGTAAAGATGATGTTGTTTGTTGTTATAATATTTTGTGTGTGCTGGCTTCCATACCATACATACTTTATCCTAGCTCACCTTCAGCCTTCAATTAACCATGGAAAATATATACAGGTATAATACAGATATATATTAATATATACAGGTAGAATACAGATATATATTAATATATACAGGTAGAATACAGATATATATTAATATATACGGGTAAAATACAGATATATATTAATATATATAGGTAGAATACAGATATATATTAATATATACAGGTAAAATACAGATATATATTAATATAGGTATCATACAGATATATATCAATATATACAGGTAGAATACAGATATATATTAATATATACGGGTAAAATACAGATATATATTAATATATATAGGTAGAATACAGATATATATTAATATATACGGGTAGAATACAGATTTATTATATACAGGTAGAGTAAAGATATATTATATACAGGTAGAATACAGATATATTATATGCAGGTAGAATACAGATATATGATATACAGGTAGAGTACAGATCTATTATATACAGGTAGAATACTGATATATTATATACAGGGAGAATACAGATATATCATATACAGGTATAATACAGATTTATTATATACAGGTATAATACAGATATAGTATATACAGGAAGAGTACAGATATATTATATACAGGTAGAGTACAGATAAATTATATACAAGTAGAGTACACATATATTATATACAGGTAGAATACAGATATAGTATATACAGGTAGAATGCAGATATATTATAAACAGGTAGAAGACAGATCTATATTAATATATACAGAGCTGGGAACTTTTGAATGGTGGATATCGGGATTAATGCTTGATCCACTCTTTTTCTTAATCTCGAGATTAAATAATGCTTGTTCTCCTCTTATTATTAATCTCCAGATTAATTAACCGATCGGGATTCCATTCTGAAGTTTTCAGCTCAGGTAGAATACAGATACACAAAGAAATACATGTAGAAAATATATATAAGATATACATCTACTGATCTACTTTATAACATAAAGGATATGTATCTACTAATCTACTGTATTATATAAAGGATATCAATATACTAATCTACTGTATTCTATAAAGGATATCTATATACTAATCTATTGTATATATAATATAAAGGATATATATCTAAATATCTACTGTATTCTATAAAGGATATCTATATGATAATCTGTTGTATTATATAAAGGATATATATCTACTAATCTATTGTATTGCATAAAGGATATCTATATACTAATCTATTGTATTATATAAAGGATATCTATCTACTAATTTACTGTATTCTATAAAGGATATATATATACTAATCTATTGTATTATATAAAGAATATATATCTACTAATCTATTGTATTGCATAAAGGATATCTATATACTAATCTATTGTATTATATAAAGGATATCTATCTACTAATCTATTGTATTATATAAAGGATATCTATATACTAATCTATTGTATTATATAAAGGATATCAATAAACTAATATACTGTATTATATAAAGGATATCTATATACTAATCTATTGTATTATATAAAGGATATCAATAAACTAATATACTGTATTATATAAAGGATATCTATATACTAATCTATTGCATTATAGAAAGGATATCTATCTACTAATCTACTGTATTATATAAAGGATATCTATCTACTAATCTACTGTATAATATAAAGAATATATATCTACTAATCTATTGTATTATATAAAGGATATATATCTACTAATCTATTGTATTATATTAAGAATATATATCTACTAATTTACTGTATTATATAAAGGATATCTATCTGCTAATCTACTGTATTATATAATGGATATCTATCTGCTAATCTACTGTATTATATAAAGGATATATATCTACTAATCTACTGTATTCTATAAAGGATATCTATCTACTAATCTACTGTATTATATAAAGGATATCTATCTACTAATCTACTGTATTCTATAAAGAATATATATCTACTAATCTACTGTATTATATAAAGGATATATATCTGCTAATCTATCGTATTATATAAAGGATATCTATCTGCTAATCTACTGTATTCTATAAAGGATATATATCTACTAATCTATTGTATTATATAAAGGATATCTATCTACTAATCTATTGTATTCTATAAAGGATATCTATCTACTAATCTACTGTATAATATAAAGGATATCAATATACTAATCTACTGTATTATATAAAGGATATCTATATACTAATCTATTGTATTCTATAAAGAATATATATCTACTAATCTATTGTATTATATAACGGATATCTATCTGCTAATCTATTGTATTCTATTAAGAATATCTATCTACTAATCTACTGTATTCTATAAAGGATATCTATCTGCTAATCTATTGTATTATATAAAGGATATCTATATACTAATCTACTGTATTATATAAAGAATATCTATCTGCTAATCTACTGTATTATATAAAGGATATCTATCTGCTAATCTATTGTATTATATTAAGAATATATATCTACGAATCTACTGTATAATATAAAGGATATCTATCTGCTAATCTACTGTATTATATAAAGGATATCTATCTACTAATCTACTGTATTATATAAAGGATATCTATCTGCTAATCTACTGTATTATATAAAGGATATCTATATACTAATCTATTGCATTATATAAAGGATATCTATCTGCTAATCTATTGTATTCTATAAAGGATATCTATCTGCTAATCTACTGTATTATATAAAGGATATCTATCTACTAATCTATTGCATTATATAAAGGATATCTATCTGCTAATCTACTGTATTATATAAAGGATATATATCTACTAATCTATTGTATTATATAAAGGATATTTATCTACTAATCTATTGTATTCTATAAAGGATATCTATCTGCTAATCTACTGGCTGGCGATGTCGAACTCCATGTACAACCCTATGATCTATTGTTACATGAATCAGAGGTAAAGTATCCACACAACACTTTTGTGTTAAAGTAAACTGTTTGAAAAGATAATATTTTAATTAGTCCTAAATTTATTTGTCATTTTTTATAATTGTTTTTTTTTACCGTTTTTAAATGATTGGAAATCAATACTATACACCGTTGATCTATTTTTACAAATATATTTTAATAAAAATTTAATCAACATACAATTTCCCTCTCAAAAAATCTCAATAGGCGTATATATTCATTGAATTTTGTAACATTTTTCTTTAACACATTTTTATTTTTATTTTCTCCGTAATGTTGAAGTGACTTTAAATTAAAATCATTTCTCCATTGTTTCTGAAACTATAAATGCGTAGATAACCACACATGAAAGTAAACAGTTTTTAACCACAAAAACATGGATATCTAGTTCAAACCCAACGAGGTTATAGTATATAGAGTGTTGATCTACGCTAATCCTTCACTAATTGTACAGGCCATGTACTTTACTTCCAAAGGTCAATCTGTATATTACAGTACTCGGGGGTGATTTCTGAAAATATTTAAATGGAGATTTGTTTCCATGTTGCTATTAAAATCCACTACTCCTTTATCGTATGCAGGATTACATTTTCACAGGAAGATGTACTATTACAGTCTTTTACGGAGCAATTTTTCATCGTTAATAAACGGCTCTGAGAAAACTGAGTAAAATTTAAGATACAAGACATCCCCATAAACTTAGACTCCGAGAGCGTACTGCATATTTGATGTTTGTACCGTATCATTAATCATCTCTTAATATCCTTTATCGGTAAACTAAACTAAGTCTACACACGGAGAGGTAGCTAAGATCCAGCCTCCCTGGAAATACACCTCTATCAATGGCGATTGGAGAGTCAGTTTAAATTATACCTGCAGCCAACCCTTTAACCACTCATTTAGACCTATTTTTGATAAAAGTTGCCAGTTCGTGATTTCTTTCCCCAAAAGGGTCAGATTTTGAAATTTGAACCCGTTTGGGGATTTGGGGATTTACCCAAACTATTTCGGGGATCTGGAAATTCTTAGTTAGGAGCAAATTACGTAGTAGCAAAATAGAAAACCTTAATTATTCTTCTAACATTACTTTTTATTGTTCTTTTGTGAGATTTTTCGGGTATTTTCAAAACTTATATTTTTTAGGGATGCATTTCTCTCGTTTTTGGGGATTTTCAATCTGATATGCTGTGGGAGAACTGTTTCTAAACTGTCCGCAGCTTGATATTTTCAATCCATTACTATTAACAGCTCTATTTTGTAATATTTTCTAGGTTTCGGCGCGGATTCAGTGAAGTTATTCATTTCTTTTCTCCCTTCAAACTCTGTTTCAAGCCTAGAGATACGGTTCCAGAGGAGGACAGGGTAAATATTAAACTAAATTATGAATTTTCAATAAAACATATATTTTTATAAATATATGTTTGGCTTGTCAGTTTGTCTGTTTGTTTGTTTCTATCTAATAAACGTCATAAACTCACACGACCCAAGGAAATCAAAAAAGATCCATACTTCCCAAAGATCCCTTCAAAATATCTAAAAAAACTAAAATATACAGTTTAACCCATCATTTCGGATATTTAGTCTTTGAAACTGTTTCTGCCTTTTCATGGCTTTTTATTTATTTTTAGCTTTAACTGACGTATAATAATAGTTTAAAATCCATTAAAAAATTGTAAAGACGACATATTGTAAAATCTTACGATGACTCTGAAGTTCTGTATTACAATATTTTGAAGTGTAGCTGAATCTTTCAATATGAATATGAATTTATTGTGGAGATTGTAGATGGGAATATATGAATATATTGTGGATGTTGTAGATGGGAATATATGAATTTATTGTGCATGTTGTAGATGGGAATATATGAATATATTGTGGATGTTGTAGATGGGAATATATAAATATATTGTGGATGTTGTAGATGGGAATATATGAATATATTGTGGATGTTGTAGATGGGAATATATAAATATATTGTGGATGTTGTAGATGGGAATATATGAACTTATTGTGCATGTTGTAGATGGGAATATATCAATATATATTGTGGATGTTGTTATGAATATATTGTTTATGTTGTAAATGGGAATATATGAATATATTGTTTATGTTGTAGGTGGGAATATATGAATATATTGTGGATGTTGTAGATGGGAATATATGAATATATTGTGGATGTTGTAGATGGGAATATATGAATATATTGTTTATGTTGTAGATGGGAATATATGAATATTATTTTTAGGTTGTAGATGGGAATATATGAATATATTGTGGATGTTGTAGATGGAAATATATGAATATTATGTTTATGTTGTAGATGGGAATATATGAACATATTGTATATGTTGTAGATGGGAATATATGAATATATTATGGATTTTGTAGATGGGAATATATGAAAATATTGTGGATGTTGTAGATGGGAATATATGAATATATTGTGGATGTTGTAAATGGGAATATATAAATATATTGTGGATGTTGTAGATGGGAATATATGAATATATTGTGGATGTTGTAAATGGGAATATATGAATATATTGTTTATGTTGTAGATGGGAATATATAAATATATTGTGGATGTTGTAGATGGCAATGACTATGAACGGGATGAGAATGAACCACCTTAGGGTCAACAGAGAGCTTCTGAATCTCAGGTATTAAATTCATGTTTGTATTAGAACGAAAAGTTGAAATAAGATAAAGGTAATACTCAATATTATAAACATCTGTAAAAATGTATCTTACATATGCTATAAATGTGCAGTGGCATTACTGTCAGTACTAACTGCATATATAAGTGTAAATGACCTCAACAATTTATTTTTCTATAGTCAAAAACCAAAAAGAATTAGGCTTACATTATTTACAACTTTATTTCAATAGTTAGTTAGGAAAGAAATACCACACATTTTAATTTTCTAATAAATCTTTGCCTGACGAGGTAAAACTTTTATGTTTCAAACCCTGACTATTAGATCTATCAGAATTCATAGCTTGAGATATCAAGGGTTTGCGACATCTTGGTGCAAAAAACTAAGGATCAGAAATGAGAGTTCGAGACATGCCTTCAGATTCTTTAGTTGTAATATTCTAGTGGGAGTAACTGTAGTACAAATGTGACCCCAATGGCAACAAGAAGAACCTCCCCCATCGATAGGTAAACGGATGAATTAGTAACTTTAAAGGGACAGACCGGCTATGTAATGTAGTTGAACTGAGTATGTTTTATACAGAGGAATATGTCAGATTAACTTGCCCTTTACACTGTTAAACGATTATGTAAAAAGTGGATTATTTTTATTAATGGTTTCTCTGTACAACTAGAGATGGACATCGTTTATTTGAAGAACGAAATTATTGGTGTTAGATGGGCCCGGGGTCGTTCAGATAAAAACAACGATGGACAAACGATTTGGATTGTTCAAAAAAACAAAAATTTACATAAACAAACAATTGTTCGAGCGATTTTTACAAACAATCTTTTTTACTGAATGAAAGAATAGTTCGAACGAACTTGAAAAAAAAAAATCGTTTACTTAAGGAATGAACGATCTTTTTTTAAAAAAAATTATGAATAATAATCGGTTTTTTTCTGAACGAACGACTTTACTGAACGATCATTCATTGAGAAAATGAACGAAAAAAATGGGAAATGAACAATAATTTTGAGAGCGAACAAAATCAAATTTTTCTGAACGATTGAAAAAAAGAAATGGGTCGTTCACAAACGATGAAGAAACGAAATGAAAAAAAACCGAACGCGCCGGCCGAGACGATGGAAGGTAATCGGCAGAATTCAAAACTTTGTAAGACAGATAAATGACGTGCTGTATTATTCTTCTCGTAATTTAGATAAAGAATTAAAGGGTGCCGTTGTGAATGTGACATTTAATTTTATGAATGGAGGTTCACTTGAAATTACGCCTTAAGTCTTTAAGTTTAACGTTAAGATTAGAACCCCCAATACAAACTGTATTGAAACACAATTGTTACATAAATGTAAACATATTTCACAACTCTGCTCTAAATTCTTTATATATCATCAGTCTTCTTCTTCATCGGCATCCCCCATTCGACCACTTTAGATTTGATGGAAAAATAGAGTGAGATTTTACAAACTTTTATTAATCATTAAAAGCCTCCGGTGTAAAATTCTTTTTTAACCCTGGATTGCGATTAAATCTTTATTTTTATATGAATTTTTTCCAAATCTAGAATCTCTTTGATGTGGGCCTTCATGGAACAATATTGTAAACTATGACGTTCAAAAATTGAGGCAGTTATTTAATAATATGAGAAAAGCTTTTTTCTAAACATGAAATAACCTGATATTTAAAATGATTTTTATTCCGGCTTGTACATACCAACATTAACGTGTCTCACTCTCAATATGTACACTTTTTTAATCTCTGGAACACTTCCTATCAATTGATACTAATTATAAGTTTGCAGCACTAATTATGAGGAAATCAATCCAGTTTGAACTTTAAAGTTTGCCATTTTCGCTTGGTTGAATTCGTAAATTTGTTATTTTCGTTTTTCGAACATTCGTGATTTCATAAAGGTGTCAATTGAGAAACATTAGTTTTGAAAGTAAAGGTAATTTTTTCTTTTTCTTCTATTCTCAATATCAATTTTCAGCCTGGTTCAACTTCTTTATTTTAGATGCTACAACCTTTTAACTGGTGTCCATCCATCGGAAATATTTCAGAGATTTTCACAATGGCAAAATTTTTTTATCAAAGATCGTTTTTTTGGAAACACTGTATGTTCAAAACTACATTATTCAAACGCAAGAATGCATTAACAATAATAGATATCTATTCCACATCCTATTCAAGGTTCAAATGTATTTTGGTGACAAAGTTAAACTTTCTTCCCATTTAAGATTTCTCTGCTATTTGTGTATGTATATGATGTCTCTATACACACAGGAATATTGAAAAATCAGAGAGCTGGGTTTGAGTGAAAGAGGGGAGGATTGAATAAAATATAGGGAAATATGTCAGAGTAATCCAAAGCTTTTCCCAGTCTTCCTTTGTAAACTTAATCAATCTCCAGGAACTTTTTAAACTTCAGTTCAGTCAAAATATGAATCCGTTTTTTTACTACAAGTACAGGAACTTTAAAAAGCTGTTACTTCCAGAGCATAAATGAATGCATAAAGGAATTAAGTCTTTATCTTTTTGATTTACTAAACCATACAACTTTGCAACCCAATGTTGCAAATTATTGATATTTTAAACTATGAACTATGTTAGATTGAAATATCAAAGGTTTACACTATCATGTTGCAAAGATGTAGAGGTTAGAAAATTTAGTTTGTGAATCCATTCCAAATCAAAATTTGGGGTAATTCCACTGTGTTACTTACAGAAACCGAAAATCAGAAAATGTTTGATATTTTGTAAAACAAAACTTGAAATGATAAAATTTGTATCATGAGTAGTTTGCTTACAAATCCTCATCATCAGTTTCTGGCCAGAAAAATAATATAATCGTTTATTTCAGCGTGGGTGGCAACTCTCCTTGCAGAAGACAAGAAACAAGCTTTATAAAACAAGGAATCGTTTATGTAATTTTGTTTATATTTAATTCTTACATATATTTAAAAATATTTTGTTCAGGTCCAAAATTTAAGATTATTGAATGATATCTTCTTATTGATATCTTATTGACATCTGAATGATATCTTATTTTAATAGAAATTTTTTCACACGTAAAATATGAAATAAACGAATTAAGGTACGAGAACTGGCTCCGGTAATGCTCCGACCTGGAGCCGGGTTCACCATGAGAGGGCTCCAATTCCTCCAATAATCAGTGTTGAAACCTACGTCCATGTAGTCTCCAATCCAACCCTGAAACAGGAAAGTATGGACGGAAACCTGAATCAAGGGCCAAAAATTCCAAGTTTACGTCAAATGAGCGAAGATTCAGGGAAAACTAAGTCGAAAGCTTTAGGCACTCAGAGCTTTAAGCTGCCAAGGCAAACCTTTAAAATAAATGCTTCGGGCATTAATAAGATTCTGCCGCTAGATGAAAATATTGAGAATGAATCCAGTTCAGAATTGACAGCTTTAGATAAATCCGGCAATTTCAATTTGGGACTAACAGAAGGGCCAAACGGAATAAGGAGTATGGAAGAAGACCAAAAAGCAACTAATATCCCAACTGACAATGAAATCCAGCAAACTAACTGGGTCAACTCCGAAGACAATAAAGCTGTCGATAACACAGAGACGAAGGAAAGTCTAACTGTTCAACTTGAAAATTACAAAAAAGTTTCCACAGACTTTCCTGAATCCCAGGAAGACGCCATAGATTTTCCTACACGGAAAAGAGACTCCAACGACTGTTCTATATCCGAAAAAGAGATGATAGACAAAGCTAAGGATGAAAAAGACTCTAATTTTTGCCAGGCACAGATTAGCAAAACTCCAACATTCCAATTAGAAAACATTGAGAAAAGTCGAAATGAGAAAGTGGAAGATAGAGATCGTGAAATTGAATGGTTTGGTAGATCTGCAGGGAGGATAAATGAGAAGTTTGCTAATGCCTCCTTATCAGAGATAATTGCTCTCTCTGCACTCCTGCAGGAGGATATTGCCAACAATGATCTAAAGGATCGGAAGAACGATGAAACACAATCTCGTCATGAAAACACCATAAATCCTCGTCTCCTTAGTTTCAACTCAATCATCAACAGGAAAACAAACATTTTGAGGACAAAACTTCTTTTAATTTTATCTGTTCTTTTCGGACGCTTTGATTTAAAGGGATAATATCAACCCTATACAACAGTTAAATATTTTTTCTGTAATTTTTTAAGAGTGGGTAGATGTATACTTTATAATTTATTTGTTGAAATCTGAAGAAATAATAGATTTAGATTATCCTGCACTTAAAACTTATTAACTCTGAAACCTTTCATATGTTTTTAAATAATTAGCCAAAGAAATTCAAGGAAAAATTTTTATTTTGACTTTGTTGCCAGAATTTTATTTGTTTTATAAAATCGATTTTGATCTTTGAAAGGAATTTTCCCACTAACTAACTAACAATAATAGATTGAAGAGATATGAGGATTAAAAATTTGAGTATGTTGCAAAGACTTCCTTCTGTGTTTTGAAAAAATAATTTTGTTTTCTATTGAACAGGGCTAGTCTGCTTGCTGTAGATAATCTGTGTATATCTGTCTGTGATTCTTCAAGTCCTACCTCCCCTACATTGAAGCCAAAACTGATATAAAAACCATATAACCTCCAAAACTGATATAAAAACCATATAACCTCCAAAACTGATATAAAAACCATATAACCTCCAAAACTGATATAAAAACGATATAACCTCCAAAAGCTTAAGTTGGTATTCCCCATAATGTCTCCACTCACCAACACATGAATACTGCACCTTTTTTTACATTTGGATAACTTCTCCTTCGTCTACTTTTAATGCTAAATGTTTACATAAATCAATTTTTAGTGTCATAGCCATGATATTGATGCCCTGGACAGTTCGACTGTACAAGGAAGGGCCCTGGAAAAACGAATCGCTGAACCAGATACATTGACAGGGTCTGGTTTAGTGAGCAAATATGATTCTCATATCAAGATGATAGATGAGGACGAAGAAAGTGGAGATCTTTGTATATTTGAACCAAACCATTAAACCAGAATCTAAAAAAATAAGTGTTTGAGAAAATATGTTTCTGGGTAAATCCAATTAGACTCTAAAAGTATTCTTTGTTGTGTTGTTTGTATATATTTAGAAAAGTTTAACATTTTTAAAGTAAAATTTGAGGAGATATGAATTGTGTTTTTGCCAGAAACTCTGTTTTTTAACCTCTTTATCTTTGTAACGCGATGTTGTAGACGGTAGACCTTTAATATTTCAAACTATGAATTCTAGATCGAATAGTCTAAATTTTATATTTCAGAGATTTACACCATTAGGTTGCAAAGATATGGGAATTAGAACATTTGAGTGTGTGGCAAAAAATTTGAGGATAAAGTTTTCATAAATTTCAATTCCAAATATAAAAAAGAGTATTCATGACCATAAGTATTATTACAAGGGTTTTTTTTAAAAATATTAAAAAAATATTATTTTTTACTTTAGTAGGTATCAATTCGATATAACGGTAATTGAGTCATAAAAATTCAAATTGAAACAAAAATTGCTTTTTGAAAATAGGTTTTAAAATATTCTTTTGCAAATCTTACTTATTTAAAAAGTTCACTTTTTCATCTTTTGCATATTTGTACCTTTGTGTAAAATCGCGTCGATAACTTGAAAAGGTTATATGGATGGATAGAAGGAGTTAAACTTATTTTCTTATTAATTGTAGTTTAACTGATTTATCATTGGTCAAATACAAAAGTTTCTAGCTTTTACTTTCAGACTTAATAAATTTTCGCTAAAACCTGCTGCAAAAATTTTTGTTCGATGAATTTTAAAAATAGAAACATATTGGGGTTTTGGTTTTTGAAATAGAATCGTGTTTTTTAATCCAATATTGAATTGCTTAGATTCTTCAGGGGCAAAACTTAAATAACTTCTTTGATCACATTATATAGTGCGGTACTAATTTGATCCATTAGCAGAGAAATCTTAGTTTTAGCTTTCATATATACAGGGTGTCCCACATCATAATAGACCGAGAACGGGTCTAAATTACGATTTTCGGGACTAATTAGAAAATTTCATTAGAATGAATCATTTTAAAAAATAACATAAGGTTTATATAAGAATTTTCTTGCGGAAAAGGATAAGTTTTTTGAGTATTAAGGGTTTATTTTGGTGCTAAAGATTGGAGATAATCTAATATGATATGGGACGCTCTGTCTAAACCCAAATTCATCGATTGTATTTAAAGCTTTTATGAAACCAAATTAATCAAAAATAGCAATCTGTCATCTGTACGTTGAGTGTTGACGTTGTGATACAAGTTTATAAATTCTATCAATTTTCTTTTTAACGTTTTTAAAATCAATCCTCAGTGAGAACTAGAAACCTTGGGTTGAATGTCGTCTTTACTTTGACTATGAGAATTTATAATTTGCAAACGTTGCAATTACAATCTCTCCAAAATATCAGGGCACTCTTAAAGGGAGTGTTCGCAAAAAATGAAAGGAGGTATAGGCTTAATGCGATAAAAAAGCGCGCATCTAATCTTACTTCTATCTGTTGCGTCCATAAGGAGAACATTGTTAAAAACGACTAATACCGAAGAACGTAGTATCCATACAAATTCAGAAAGATGCAACATATGACTTAGACCGTAAATAAATCTATTTAATTTCAAACAAATCATTCAGATATTACACCCTATGGTCATCGATTATCTTTCGCCAAATTTGTATATATTTTATTTTTCACAATATGTTTTGATTTTATTTTTTAAAATAACATTTAGCTTCCAACTTGTTTTCGAACAATCCTGGAAAATATGAAAATGCCGTCTTCATTACCAAAAATCCTCGAAACAGGAATAAATGTTTTTATAAGTGACTCTCAGATCATAACAATTAAAACATATTATGAAAAATCAACTATATACAAATGTGGCGAAAGATAATCGATGACCATAGGGTGAAGTATCTGAATGATTTGTTTGAAATTAAATAGATTTTTTTACGGTCTAAGTCGTATGTTGCATCTTTCTGAATTTGTATGGATACTACGTTCTTCGGTATTAGTCGTTTTTAACAATTTTCTCCTTATAGACGCAACGGATAGAAGTAAGATTAGAAGCGATCAAAAGCGCTTTTTTATCGCATTAACCCTATACCCCCTTTCATTTCTCGCGAACACTCCCTTTAAAAGACTAAAGACAATTTATAAACAAATGAAAAAAGGCAATAAAATTCAACTGTTTTCTAGTTCTATCTGTATTTACTGTTGTTTTCAACGTTTCCATAATCAATATGTTCACGTCTGTTAAACGTTTTAGAAACTAATCTGTTAACTGTGGTATGAAGATGTTGTAAAAAAAAATAGAAAAAAAGAACTAGAGCTTTAAAGGCCCACTGATTACAAAACCTCGTTTCTAAGAAATTATTTTAAAATTTTAAATTTTATTCTCTACATTGTATTTGAATTTCCAAAAACCTTGAAATATTAAAGATTATTCCAAATTTTAAGTCCTACTTCATTTGTCATTTATAATTTTAAGATCTAAAAGGTTTTAAAGAATTTGATATATATATTATTCTGATTCTGTAATCACATACACACTACATAGAAAAGGAAATATAAGAGAAAGAATAAATTAATCCATATAATTCGGGGACTGTACACAGTTTACTGTACAATAAAGGGACTGTGCATAGTCTCCTGTACAATAAAGGGACTGTGAATAGTTTCCTTTACATTAAAGGGATTGAGCAAAGTTTCCTGTACAATAAAGGGATTGTGCATAGTCTCCTGTACAATAAAGGGCTTGTGCAAAGTTTCCTGTACAATAAAGATACTGTGCATAGTTTCCTTTACAATAAAGGGACTGTGCATAGTCTCCTGTACAATAAAGGTACTGTGCATAGTCTCCTGTACAATAAAGGGATTGTGCATAGTCTCCTGTACAATAAAGGGACTGTGCATAGTTTCCGTTACAATAAAGGGCTTGTGCAAAGTTTCCTGTACAATAAAGGGATTGTGCATAGTCTCCTGTACAATAAAGGGACTGTGCATAGTCTCATGTACAATAAAGGGACTGCGCATAGTCTCCTGTACAATAAAGGGACTGTGCATAGTCTCCTGTACAATAAAGGGACTGTGCATAGTTTCCTTTACAATAAAGGGATTGTGCATAGTCTCTTGTACTGTGCATAGTCTCCTGTACAATAAAGGGACTGTGCATAGTCTCCTGTACAATTAAGGGCTTGTGCAAGGTCTCCTGCACAATAAAGGTACTGTGCATGGTCACCTGTACAATAAAGGGATTGTGCATAGTCTCCTGTACAATAAAGGGAGTGTGCATGGTATCTTTTAAGGTTTACATTAAATTAATATTAAATTAATTAGATATCTGATACTATTTATAACTAAAAGAGACGATAGATGTAATTTTAAGTAACCTTCTACTTGTAGAGTGGCATATCCGATTCACAGCAGTACACTTTTCTGATACAGGTTAGAAGAGATTGAGTGCCAGTACAGTTTATCTTGCAGTTTATCTTGCACTTGTAATTTAAGAAAACGTTGTATGCTAGCGTCTTACATTTGTAAATATCATTATTCATGTTCAGTGAATCAGAGAAAACTAACTTTTCCATTCGAATGTTTATAAAACTGTGTTAGACTTAAAATATTCGGATAATTTGTTTTCTCGGCTGGAGAGTTCTGAAACCTCATTTAGTCACTGTTTCCCGGCACCCAATTTTTAACTGGTAAAATAAGGATATTTCTGTCCCTAGGGAGGCGTTGTATTCTGACATGCCGCCCATATATGGAGGGTCACTTGATTCTACGTCTATAGTCTCCTGAATCTATCCAAAACAGTCCTTTATCTATCCATAAACAGTTTCCTTTATCTATCCATAAACCGTCCTTTATCTATCCATAAACAGTCCTTAATCTATTAAACAGTCCTTTATCTATCCATAAACAGTCCTTTATCTATCCATAAACAGTCCTTAATCTATCCATAAACAGTCCTTTATCTATCCATGAACAGTCTATTATCTATCCATAAACAGTCCTTAAACTAAAATTCAAAACTGCTTAAAAATAAGGAAACGTAAATAATATATTCTTTTAATGTTAAAGTTAATGTTGTCAAATAATTTAAAATTAAATCGGATAAAACGTTGTATTTTTATAAATTTAAATATCAAATTTAATAAATATTGTGCTCAATTCTTTTTTATTATAATATTTATAGTTTCAAAAATGTAGTTAACTGTCTTGCACTGTAGAACTCGATAATTCATTAGACTTTACCTTCTACAGTTTCCTACATTAAACCTTCTACAGTTTCCTTCATTAAACCTCCTACAGTTTCCTTCATTAAACCTTGTACAGTTTCCTTCATTAAACCTTGTACAGTTTTCCTTCATTAAACCTTGTACAGTTTCCTACATTAAACCTTGTACAGTTTCCTACATTAAACCTTGCTGAGTTTCCTACATTAAACCTTGTACAGTTTCCTACGTTTAACCATGCACAGTTTCCTACATTAAACCTTGTACAGTTTCCTACGTTTAACCATGCACAGTTTCCTACATTAAACCTTGTGCAGTTTCCTACAT